CACACTGGGAGCACCCGCCATGTGCAGTTCCACCCATAATAACCCTCATCTACCAATCGCCCCATCCCCCCCCCCCGACCACCTACAACCCACAACCCCCGCACCCCCCCTTCCCTCCCTAGTAGACCCCCGAACCCACCCACACTCATGTGCACTGCCCCTCTGCCTTCCAACCCATACCTGCGCTTCAGCCTCATCACACTCTCCATCACTAGGTCCTCTTTCACACTCGCTCTGAGATCACTTCTCACATAGAGACAGACACAACCACCTTTCCTATTTACCTCCTGTCTCTCCGAAAAGAGAACATAGCCAGGAATATTAATGGCCCAGTCCATGTGAAGAATGAAGCCAAGATTCAGCAATACCAATTAAATCATAGCTCTTCATTCATGCACCAAAGCTTTCAACTCACCTATTTTGCTTGGCAGACTTCTGGCATTGGTGAACACTTTAATTCTTTGACATCTTGTGCACATGTATTTTGCATATTTTTTTTATTTTTCATACAAATGGTACCAATTGCAATGGTTGTTTGTATCATGGGAACCTTCTCATCACCTGCCATGAGTCCTCCCCCCCATCTTTCCCCATTCCAACCCACCAATAAGGACTGACCCCCCTATCTGACTGTCTGCCCCATTATAATCTAATTATCATCCCCCCGACTCGATTCTAGTTTAAATACTACCCCCAACCAACCCATAACCTAGCCACCAACACAGCAGACCCTCTTTCCATTTAGGTGCAAACCATCTCTACCATATAGATTTGCTAACCCCAATGAAAAGTCAGTCCAATGCTCTAGAAACCAGAATCCTTCCCTCTTACAGTTGAGGAAGACTCTTTTCTTTTCTAGCATGTCTATAGCCCCATGCCACAAATACAGCTCAACAAAGACAATGTTTTTGATGAGTTTGGTATGGAGAACATTGAGGTGGCCTGCACAAAGCCCAAACCCTACTGAACCACACCTTTGGGACAAATTGGAATGCTGAATGTAAGCCAGGTCTTACATTGTGACTGGTGTGATCTGACCTCAACAAATGCTCTTTTGGCCGAGTGGACATTAAATTTCCAAAACCAACATACAGACAATGGAGCAAAAGTTTTTGTGAAATGAAGCCAGACAAGGAGGAAACAATGATGTCCCGAATGAAGTGAGAGGCAGAAACTACCTTCGACAAGAAGGAGGTCCTGGACCTCGACATCACTTTGTCCCTATATGCAAAACTATAAAAAGTTCCTTGCAAGATAAAGCCACCAGTGTCAAGGATGAGAGAAAACACCATCTCTGGAAACAGAATAGAAATGTCAGAAACCAGCCCTTGATAGAGCTCGGAGTCAAAAGCTGGTCTAAGCCCAGTTGTGAGAAGGATGACACTGAAGCAGGATGGTCTAACAGAGTGCAGAGACAACAAAATAATGAGATCATGTACTGGGCACATGAAAAGCCATGTTTGGCAGCCATGTTGTCAAGGAATCATAGGTCAGCCATGACGGTTTTGTAGAACAGTACACAGTGCATTGCATCAGCTAGGAGTGTACCTCCAAACCTTTTAACAGTCACATTTCAAAGAGCCTGTTATCTCAACTTAGGGACAGCAGATACCAGCACACAGACCTTTACCAGAGCTGTAAACATCTAATTGAGGTTCTGGTATGATGTCTGTTAACTTTAACCCACTTCAGTTCCAGTGATGTACCCGTATGGTGCTGGACTTACTGGACTTACAGTGGTTGTACCGGGATGATGCATGCAGGACAAAGACACTGCCCATTGATTTCAATAGGACAGTCAGATGGAAATGGACCGCCTGTTATAGTTTCCACCCGATTGTCATCTGATCTGCTGGACAGATGGGGGAATGGATCCCTATCCGTCTGTTTTTGGTGTACAGGATCGGATCAGATGCCGTCGGGTGTCAGCCGACTATTGTCTGCTGACACCCGCTTGTCCATAGAAGTCTATGGATGGACCGATCAAGTCTGCCTGAAAAAAATTTGATTCATTTTTAATCAAAGTAAAACTCACTCAGTGTCTTCATGCTTTTTTTGTTTTAAAAAGAAAAATCACCATGAAACTCCCCACACCCACCCTAGTGCCCAATGCAACTTACCTTGAAATGGTTAACTGTGTAGTTAAGTATTTTTTTCCTGAAATAATTCTTGATATACAAGAGGTGAACAAGAGTATGTCTCCTATGTTCAGTGATGTGCAAACCTATCTTACCTCTCATATATTGGGAAATTTTGTATTTGCATTTTGGCCCCTGTGTGGGCCTTCTTTGTGAGTCCTTTTTTGTCCCTTTTATTAAAAAAATTGAACCTGAACTTAGCATTTCTAAAAAACAATTGCGTTTGTAAAAACGCTGCGAGTGTACTATGTGGCAAACAATTGCAGCACCCACCATTTTATTCACTAGGGTGTTTGCTTTAAAAAAATATAATGTTTGGGGTTTAAATTAATTTCCTAGCAAAAAATACTGATTTGTGAACAAAAAGTGTCAGAAAAGGCTTGGTCTTCAGGTGGTTAGAAGAGTGAGTGATGTGTGGCATAAACTTCTAATGCTGGGCATAAAACGCCCCCACCCCCCAAAACGACCCCTTTTTGGAAAGTAGTCACCCCAAACTATTTGCTGAGAGGCACGTTGAATCAATAGAATTTATTTTTTTACCACAAGTTTTTGGAAAATGACAAACAAAATTTTTTTTTTTTTTTTTACACAAAATTGTCACTTAAATGATTTATTGCTCACACATGCCATGGTTATATGTGGAATTACTCCCCAAAATACATTCTGCTACTTCTCCTTAGTATGGGAGTACCACATGTGAGAGACGTTTTGGCAGTCTAGCCAAGTACAGGACCCCAAAATCCAATAAGCACCTTCAGGCTTTTGAAGGGCTTTATTTCCTCATTACACTTCCTGACTACCTATCACAGTTTCGGAGGCCCTGAAATGCCAGGATAGCATCTAACCCCCCCAAATGACCACTTTTTGGAAAGTAGAAACCCCAAGGAATTTGATCAGAAGCATGGCGAGCATTTTGCAGATCTCGTTTGTTGCCACAAGTTTTTGGAAAATGAAGAAATGAACAAAAACGTATCTTTTCTTTTTTATATTTCAAAACCTTGTGAGAAAAAAATTAGATCTGCAAAATACTCACCATGCCTCTTTTTAAATTCCTTGGGGTGTCTACTTTGCAAAAAGGGGTCATTTGGGGGGGGGGGGGTTGGTACTATCCTGGCATTTCAGGGCCTTTGAAACTGTGATAGGTATTGAGGAAGTGAAATGAGGAAGTTACGCACCTTCAGGCTTTCAAAGTGGTCATTGGATTTCAGGCTCCTGTATGTGGCTAGGCTCCCAAAAAGTCTCACACGTGTGGTATCCCCATACTCGGTAGAAGTAGCAGAATGTATTTTAGGGTGTAATTCCACATATACCCATGGCTTGTGCGAGAAAATTATGATTTAAAAGACAACTTTGTGTAAAAAAAAAAAAGTTGTCATTTACCAGAAAAAAAATAAAAATCTTCCATGGACTCAATATGCCTCTCAGCAGATAGCTTAGGGTGTCTACTTTCCGAAAAGGGGTCATTTGGGGTATTTGTACTATCCTGGTATTTTAGCACCTCAAGAAATGTGATGGGCAGTCAGAAAGTAAAAGCTATGTAAATTCCATTATCTATACCATAGTTTGTAGATGCTATAACTTTCATGCAAAGCAATCAATATACACTTCTTGGGATTTTTTTAACCAAAAACATGTAGCAGAATACATTTTGGCCTAAATTTATGACAAAATTTTAGTTTTTTTTGGATATTTTTTATGACAGAAATGAGAAAATAGTTTAAAAAAAAAAAAAAAAAAAAATTTTTCTAAAATGTTTTTGTTTATAGCGCCCAAAATAAAAAAGTGCACAGGTGATCAAATACCACCAAAATAAAGCTCTATTTGTGTGAAAAAAAAAGGACATAAATTTCATTTATGTACCGCATTGCATGACCGCGCAATCGTCAGTTAAACTAGTGCAGCACTGTGTAGCAAAAAAATGGTGTAAATTGCAGTATCTTTACCATAGTTTGTAGACGCTATAACTTTCACACAAAGCAATCAATATATTTTTTTTTTACTAAAAACATGTAGTAGAATATATTTTTGCCTAAATTTATAACTAAGTTTACTATATATTTTTTTATAGCCGAAAGTAAAAAATATTAGTTTTTTTTCAAAATTTTCAGTCTTTTTTTGTTTATAGCGTGAAAAATAAAAACCGCACAGGTGATCAAATACCACCGAAAGAAAGCTCTATTTGTTTGAAAAAAAGGACGTTAATTTCGTTTGGGCACTGCATGACCGCGCAATTATCAGTTGAATTAGTGCAGCGTCTAGTAGCAAAAAAGAAACCTGGTCAGGAAGGGGGGTAAATCCTCTAGAGGGCAAGTGGTTAAAAACATTTAATGCTGATGGAGAGAGTTTAGTTCCGCTTTAGTGTTCATATTCTAGGACCCTTTGATTAGGACGTGTGATCAGTACTTTCAGTAGATGTTCAGTTCTGTGTATCTTCCAAGCATAAAATACAGGAGCCAGAGAATAATAAAATGTACATTTATTTTCAAAGTTTTTTGATGTTTACATTTTTTTTTATTATAAAACAATAATTACCAGTGAGGGGCGATATTAAAAATACCCAGAGTAAAATAAAATACTCCAGGGTAAGACCCACTCACAGGAACACGTTATTTGACATTTGGCCTCTCCAGAAGATCTTATATTAACGCCCAAAAAGAAAGTCTGATCCACTGGATTCCCCCCCCCCCCCTCCCCTGAGGTTCTGTACCACACCCATATCTACCAGGAGTCGTCCTCTGAACTCCCCACCTACCAAAACATACCCTACATCCATATTATTAACACTCTCTGCTATTCCGCTAACGTCCATCAACTCAAAACATCACACATCCTGCTATGGTCCCCGATCTTCACAAACTGGATTCAGTCTGACAAAACGATCACCTCATCTGGGTCACACTGCGTGGCAGCATCAGTCTGGAGCAGAGAGGGAGAGGGAAGGGACAGGGAAAGGGAGGTGTGTGGGGAAGGGGGTGGGAGATTATGAAATAGAAAGGAAAAAAGTAGAACATTAGGTGAGCAAATGAGAATTTCAAATGTGTAGCAATTTCAGGTTCTATATATACTTTCTATTTAATGGATTCATAACCAAATAAATAAGAAATACCAAAACCAAACACTTGAAATCTATCAGCATGAGGCAGGCTAAAGGGGGCAACTCTCTCACGTTGTCCAGAACAGAAGATCCAAAGATCCAGACTGCTGGATGAAGAACTCACACGGCACTCAGCTGTCCTGGGACCTGTGCACACTGCCTGTATCACAAGGAGTCTAAGCAGCTCTCAGTCCTCATCTGGGAGTACAGAATAATTAGGCCTATGTTGTGAGAACTGGATAAGAGGGGACAGCTGGAGCAGTTTATCAAGAGACACTAGGAGGGACATTATCAAGCAAACCCAATGTGTCTACTGGACAGGAGCAGCTCCATTTCCAAAGTCTGAGACAGGTATTTGCAACTTGGACACCTGTTTTCCTGGACAGCCAAGTGCGACAGTTTGCAAAATCCCGAGGCAGGTTTATGACTAATGTTAAAGTGATTGTAAAGGATCTTATATATATATATATATATATATACACACACACATACACATATATATATATATATATATACACACACATACATATATACACACACACACATATATACACACACATACACACACACACACACATACATATACACACACACAGTAGTATCTCCCAGAAGTGAGTCCCCCCCCCCCCCTCACATTTTCATAAATATTTGATTCTATCTTTTCATGTGACAACACTGAAGAAATGACACTTTGCTACAATGTGACGTAGTCAGTGTACAGCTTGTATAACATGTACATTTGCTGTCCCCCTCAAAATAACTCAACACACAGCCATTAATGTCTAAACTGCTGGCAACAAAAGTGAGTCCACCCCTAAGTGACAAGGTCCAAATTGGGCCCAATTAGACATTTTCCCTCCCCGGTGTCATGTGACTCATAGGGTTACAAGGTCTCTGGTGTGAATGGGGAGCTGGTGTGTTACATTTGGTGTTATCGCTCTCACTCTCTCCTACTGGTCACTGGAAGTTCAACATGGCACCTCATGGCAAAGAACTCTGAGGATCTGAAAAAAAGAAATTATTGCTCTACATAAAGATGGCCTAGGCTATATGAAGATTGCCAAGACCCTGAAACTGAGCCGCAGCACGGTGGCGAAGACCATACAGCAGTTTACCAGGACAGGTTCCACTCAGAACAGGCCTCGCCATGGTCGACCAAAGAAGTTGAGTGCATATGCTCAGCGTTATATCCAGAGGTTGTCTTTGGGAAATAGATGTATGAGTGCTGCCAGCATTGCTGCAGAGGCTGAAGGGGTGGGGGGGTCAGCCTGTCAGTGCTCAGACCATACACCACACACTGCATCAAATTGGTCTGCATGGCTGTCGTCCCAGAAGGAAGCCTCTTCTAAAGATGGTGCACAAGAAATCCTGAAAAAAGTTTGCTGAAGACAAGCAGACTAAGGACATGGATTACTGGAACCATGTCCTGTGGTCTGATGACACCAAGATAAACTGATTTGTTCAGATGGTGTCAAGCGTGTGTGGCGGCAACCAGGTGAGGAGTACAAAGACGTGTGTCTTGCATACAGTCAAGCATGGTGGTGGGAGTGTCATGGTCTGAGGCTGCATGAGTACTGCCGGCACTGGGGAGCTACAATTAATTGAGGGAACCATGAATGCCAACATGTACTGTGACATACTGAAGCAGAGCATGATCCCCTCCCTTCGGAGACAGGGCTGCAGGGCAGTATTCCAACATAACGACCCCAAACACACCTCCAAAATGACCACTGCCTTGCTAAAGAAGCTGAGGGTAAAGGTGATGGACTGGCCAAGCATGTCTCCAGACCTAAACCCTATTGATCACACTGTTCAACAAATTTTAATTTTTTGCCAGTTTTGGAAACAAAAGGATCCATTTCTTAATGAATTTCACATCCTGAGTTCAAATATAACAATGAAATTTGTCAATTGGCTCTAGTTTTTTCTGTAAACGGAAAGTTTTCTACTATAGGCGTAATGACTACATAATGCACAATAATTATATAGATAGATGTCTTTCCACAAATATAAAGCAAGTGATATTGACTACATAACAAAGCCTAAATGGCAGAATATATTGCATAGGATTACCAAGAAAAATTATAGCCATAAGCTAAGTTGAATCATTTTAATACTTAGGATTCTCACTAGTTTTGTCTTCAGTTTGTGTCGGTTTTGCTTCTCTTGGCTTTTCTCTTGTATTCGAGGAAAGGGCTATCTCTTACAACTGCACGTGACTACACGCTTCAGGTTTTTCCTCACTTGACTCAACCACGAAGGATTCTGGTGCTTTAGGAATTGGTAGCCCCTCTCCATGAGGAACTGGACGTATTGCCGATGGAATATTTGGATAGTGCACAGATAACTTTTTCTTCTTATTTAGCCCTTTTACAATTGGAGGCACCATACAAAAGTAACAATTACTAACATGATCTGTTGGCTCTCTCCAAATCATTGGCACAGCGAAAGGCATAGATGCCTTTTTTCCATTCAACCATTGCTCCAGTGCCGTCCCACAAGAATTGCAGCATATATGTGGTGCCCAGCTCTTGTCCTGGTCTCCTATCTTGCAGCCAAAATACAAGTTGTAGGCTTTCTTAATCATTCCTGTTATCCTCCTTTTTTGTGAGATAAAAGTTATTTCACCGCAGATATAGCAGAAATTATCTGCTTTATTCACACAAGTTCGAGGCATTACTGAGTAGCCTATATTAGCATAAAAACGAAATGTAAAGACGCTGTCGAACTACAATCAGCTACAGATACTGCAGCTTTTATGCAGTGAAGTGATGCAATTAAAGGCTAATATTGCATCATCTCAGTATACATGCAATTTTCTATTGGTCACCAGTATCAATTGCGCAATATGCAGCTGAAGTTGCATCATAATTTTGAATGGCTTACGTCATTAGATGGGTGAATATATCATGGAAACTAGAGCCAATCAACATTTTTTAGGGTCATTTTCGTTTTCAGCACCCCAAAATTATGTAAGATTAGCTAATTTTATGCCCAAAACTTTTTACCTGTTGAACAGTGTCATCTGTGGGGCATCCTCAAACAGAAGGTGGAGGAGCGGAAGGTTTCTATCATCCACCAGCTCCGTGATGTCGTCATGGAGGAGTGGAAGAGAACTCCAGTGGCAACCTGTGAAACTCTGGTGAACTCCATGCCCAAGAGGGTTAAGGCAGTGCTGGAAAATAATGGTGGCCACACAAAATATTGACACTTTGGGCCCAATTTGGACATTGTCACTCAGGGGTGGACTCACTTTTATTGCAAGCGGTTTAGACATTAGTGGCTGTGTGTTGAGTTGTTTTGAGGGGACAGCAAATTTACATGTTATACAAGCTGTACACTGACTACGTCACATTGTAGCAAAGTTTCATTTCTTCAGTGTTGTCACATGAAAAGATAGAATCAAAGATTTACAAAAATATGAGGGGTGGACTCACTTCTGGGAGATACTGTGTGTGTGTGATATCTCTATCAAACATGTTATGCTTACCCGCTCTGTGGAATGGTTTTGCACAGAGCAGCACTGATCCTCCCCCTTCTGGGGTTCCTTGCCAGCACTCCTGGCTCCTCCCACCTTCTGAGTAACCCCCCCCCCCAGCAAGCCACCTGCTAGGAGGGTACTTGTGTAGGGGTTGATTCCGAGCTGCACTGCGTGCGTGTATCTATTGGGCCCTACCTGCCACTTTGTTCTCACTGGATTTGATTGACAGCAGCAGGAGCCAGTGGCTCCCACTGCTCTCACCGAGTCCGCTTTGTGCTGCTTTCAGGCACATTGCTGGATCAAGATCAGACTCAGGTAAATATTCTGGGGAAGAAGAGGGGTGGGGTTAGGAGAGCTGCACCAAAAAGGTTTTTTTTTTTTTTTTTTTTTTACATAAAATGCATTAGGGTAACAAACCATCAGCCTTTACAACCACTTCAAGACAGATTTTTACTCTAAACAGTCACGTTAAATGCAGTGCAACCTTAGAGCAGCTGAGCGAAGAATGTATGAATCAAACTGTAATCTTGTAGTAAATCCATCTCACTGGTCCAGTAGAGCATTGCCTTGCTGTGTGACAGAATTAATAAAGGTTCCCCTGGCAGGGTTGATTGCTCAGTCCACCGGAATGTTTGTTGTCAGCCCTCAACAACAATAAGGAGCTCCATGCATTTCTGGCAGATGAACAGGTATTCTTCTGCACTTGCAGGGCCTTTAACCTCCTCCCGCCTGCCATATAAGGCAATGACGGGCGCAAGGTGGTTCTCTCGTTCTGATAGGACGTCATATGATGTCCTCCCATTCTAACAGCACATGGGCGGCTCCAGGAGATCCGAAGATGTCGGCTCGGTCATGTGATCAGCTGTGTCCAATCATAGCTGATCACATGTAAATAGGGAAATGCCGGTTATCGGCATTTCTCTCCTCACGAATTGTCACGCTGACAGCTCAAGAGGAGAGCCGGTTATCGGCTTTACTCAGAAGGGACAGTGTGCCCTGAGGATTTGTGTAGTCCCAGCAGTGCCACCTGTCAGTGCCCATCAGTGACAGCTGTCAGTGCTCATCAATACCACCTGCAAATGCCCATCAGTGCCAAATATCAATGCCTACCAGTGCACATCAATGCCACATAGCAGTGCCCATCTGAGCTGCCTTTCAGTGTTACCTATCAGTGCCACCTATCAATGCCAGTCAGTGCTACCTATCAGTGCCAGTCAGTGCTGCCTATCAGTGCCATATATGAGTGCTGCCTTTCAGTGCCCATCAGTGATGCCTGTCAATGCCCATCAGTGCCACCTACCAGTGCCTCCTCATCAGTGCCACCTATCAGTGTAGCCTATCAGTGCCCATCACTGCAGCCTCATTAGCGCACATCAGTGAAGGGAAAAAAAAAAAAAAAAAAAAATCACTTATTTACAAAATTTTATAACAAAAACTAAGAAAAAACTTATTTTTTTTTCTAAATTTTCTGTGGTTTTTGGTTTGTTTAGCAAAAAATAAACCCAGAGGTGATTAAATACAACCAAAAGAAAGCTCTGTCTCAAAAACAAAAAATACAAATTTCATATGGGTACAGTGTTGCATGACCGCGCAATTGTCAAAGTGTGACAGCGCTGAAAGCTGAAAATTGGCCTGGGCAGGAAGGGGGTATAAGTGCCCTGTAGGCGAGGGGTTAAAGGATTAAAGTATAGGGAAATGTGTATGTATTACAGAGATGTACTGAATGTTTTTTTTGCCCAAAGTACATCTTCTGAGATCTGTAAACTGGCTAAAAAAATCTGGAATAAATCTACCAGTGCAGTTGGCTGACTGGCAAGACTTCCAGGATTTCCCATATCCAGCATGAATCTAGCAGCAGCTTGATGATAGCAGAAAAATCTTCCTAGTGATCAGAGAAGAACACACATCCTCTCCTAGGCACACTAGCAAAAACTGTGGTGTGATGGTTGTAGGCGGGGTCATTTCATAGCCCAGTGCTTTTTTGTTGTTGTTAGTGCTTTTCTCCTGTAGGTAGGAGTATAACCCAGCCTATGAATTCGACAAATTCCCATGTCCCTTAATGGCCGAAAAAGAAACCTCTTATAAAGCAGTTAGTAATGTACTGTACATATCTGTGCCTTTACAGCTCACCTTTTGTCGGGACGGGGTCTTGTTCGGGGTCACCTGTGGGCTGCAGGTCACCATCAAGTCTAGTGTTATGTCGTGCTCATTGTCACTGCAAGGCTCGGAAGGGCTGGAGTAAGAAGTATATGTACTGCTTGTTCTGGAAAAAAAAAAGAAGGATTTTAGACATCACTAAAAAGGAAAATTATACTGTAGAAATACATTGTGTGCCGGCTTCTTTTTTTTTTTTTTCCTTATAAATATTTATTGGTTTTCAATCAGATATAATTAACAAACATTTTCTTCATTAAAAGATCATTATATTCCTCATAATTTATTTAATTCCCACAACCCTAATTCGCTCCTAAACCCCCCCCCCCCCTCCCCACGCCCATCCTCATATCAATATAAAATTTTACATGTGTGCCTGCTTCTAATACGCTGATGGCATTGTTTTTACAGTCTGTTATACACAACAGCAAAAAAAAAAAACAAAACAAAACAAAAAAAAACCATACGGCAGTGCGAATTCAGGTCAGCAATGGCAGCCCCCATACTTTCTCATGACAGAGTCCCTTCACAACAGACCATGCAATACAATGCAAGATGGCGTATATCTCCAGGCTCCAACCCCTATTTAAAAATCTGACGTTAGTAGGTGCAAAATGTACCCCCTTTAACCACTTCCAGTCCGGACACTTTCACCCCCTTCCTGTCCAGGGCAATTTTCAGCTTTCAGTGCTATCACACTTTGAATGACAATTGCGCGGTCATGCAATACTGTACCCATATGAATTTTTTACCATTTTTTTGAGACAGATAAAGCTTTATTTTGGTGGTATTTATTCACCGCTGGGATTTTTATTTTTTTTGCTATGTAAATGAAAACGTCCAAAAATTTGGAAAAAAGTGTTTTTTTTTATAAAATTTTGCAAATAAATAATATTTCATCATAAATCTTGGCCAAAATTTATTCCGTTATTTTTTTAGTAAAAAAAAAAATCCAAATTAGTTTTATAACCACAATTATAATTTTTAAACATTTTTTTTTAATTTTTATTTTTTATTTTTTTTTTTTTTTACATACTGTCTCCCTAGCAGTACAGTGTCACCATGGTGACACTGTACTACTTGTGGGGGGTGATGAAGATTTTTTTTTTTTTTTTTTTTTTACACCGATTGCTTTTACACCCATATAGGATGTAAAAGCAATCATTTCTCTTTCTCTCTGTCTGCATTCTTGCAGCCATTGAGAAGTACTGAGTGAGCTGTGATTGGTCACAGCTTGTCACCTGGTACAAGGCTGTTGTGAATAGCCCTGTACCATGTGACCTCTGTGATCATTCACAGATTTCACACGTAGTAAGCAATGATGTCACAAGTGACATCTTGCTTACTACTTTGCATGTGATCACTGATTGGCCAATCAGTTATCATATGATCGGGACCTCGTACAGAGGTCCCGTCCGACGATCGGTGTTTCACTGTGTCCGGAGGACACAGCGGGCAAAGGATCGCGGTGCTGAGCGCTCCCTGGGAGCTAGTTTATGAACGGCAACCCGCCCCTGCACTGCCACCGCCCTGCCGTTTATAAACAGCAGGCAGACGGCAAGTGGTTAAAAGAAAGATCTCAGTTCTGTGCCTGGAAAGTTAAGGCTCCATGCACACCAGTGTTTTTTTTTCAAGCTCCTAGAAGCTAGTGTTATCCTATGTGCACACTGCTTTCGGCTAGTAGCGTTTTTCGAGCTTCAGCATCTAGGAACAGAAAAATAGTTTCTGTAGATTTTTTTGGGAGTGTTTTAAATAAAACACTCCCAAAAAAATCTACAGAATAAAAAAAATAAAACGCTAAAAGTTCCTAAAACGCTCCTAAGGGCTCGTGTGCACGGGGAGTTTGGAAAACTCTTCTGAACGATGGAAATGGACTGCTGGAAAACGTAGGTTAAAAAAACGTCAGTTTAGCCGCGTTTGCATACCGCGTTTAGAAGTGTTTTTAAAAGATAACCTCAGGAGACCTTCTAAAATCCCCAGAATGCACTGAAAAATAGTAAATTAACTATTTCAGATATTTTGTGAGAAATAGAGCAGAAGCAGAGAGATCAGTATGTGTTGAGATGACCTGTCTTTTCTGGTTGTATTCACTATGGATCCCATCATGAGCATAATGCGGAACGTTCTACCATTGTTTCCTTCACGCGAAACCTGGAACTGACTGCGCTGGTGTACCGGGTGCATTCGAATACATAAAAACCGCTTTGCATGCATTTCTGATGATGAAAAAAGGATCTGGACATGGAACAGTTAAAAAAACGCTTCTAAACGTGGCTAACCGCGTTTGCAACGCCGGTAAAATCTACTCCTGAATGCAAGTTTGGTGCGTTCAAAAAAAATTACTGTAAACGGCGATGTGCACATGGACACAGGAAAAGATAAAGGAGAGTTCACGGGCTGCTGAAAAAAAAAAAAACTGCTTAACTGCTCCTGAACGTCAGTTTAGGACCTGCAGAGTACATGGAGCCCTAACAGCTTTTTTTTCTACACGTACTGTAAAAACAAGAATAAAATGCCAACACTCCTAAAAAACCGCTATTACCAGCATTTTTACGGTAATTTTTTTTTTTTTTAAAAGCTCAAAAAACGCTAGTGTGCATGGAGCCACAAGGACAACTTTACCTTTAATTAGTACCACAATCCCCTGAGGGCAGACTACCTGGTCACATAAGTACCTTACTTCCCCAGTCCAACAGTGTTTGCCCCATACTACACTTGTGCACCATGGCCACATCCATGTCTGAGTGTGCCAACGTCCACTAGACTGATGGAGGCTGTCCTGAATTCAGCAGCCCCATAGGAACATATAGGGCCATGGCGATCCTGCACAACATGAACTGGAGCCCACCACATGTGTTCTTTGTAAAGGCTCTGCAGCCCTTCCTGGCGTCCTACATTGCTGTATCAGGGAGGTAGGTGTGCATGTTACCAGATGGGCTGCATTTAGGTTGGTGGGGAAAGGTGAAAAGACAACGGCACCATAGGTGAAAAGTAAAAGGTAGTTGCGCACCCCCACGATTATTTTTTCTCTAAGCTCAGCCTTGCCACTGCATGAATGCAAGCCAAGCCTATAAAAAAAAATAATGCTACCGACGTAACTGCCCTGGTGTCAATTATAGATAATTGATCTTAAAGCTGAATTGTAAGAAGATTTAAAAAAAAAAAAAAAAAAAAAAGGTACAGGCATCCTAAAGAAAAAAAAAAGAAAGCTAACACACAGCGGCAAGTCTTTGCAAACGTTTAAAAGCGAACGCACAGCTTCAATTAGCGAACAGCATGGCCGAAATTGTTGGCACCCTTGAATTTCTCCAGGAAATCATGTATTTCTCAGAAACGTATTGCACATGTTTTGCTATACACATTTTATTCCCTTTGTGTGTATTGGGACAAAACAAAAAAAGGGAGGAAAGAAAGAAATTCGACATAATGTCACACAAACCTCCAAAAATGGGCTGGACAAAAGTATTGGCACCCTTTCACAACTGCGGATAAATAAGAATGTTACAAGCATGTGATGCTCCTGTAAACTCACCTGGGGCAAGTAACAGGTGTGGGCAATTAGAAATCACACCTGAAAGCAGATAAAAAGGAGAGACGTTCACTTAACCTTTGCATTGTGTGTCTGTCTGTGCCACACTATGCATGGGCAGAGGAGACGAGAACTGTCTGAGGACCTGAGAACCAAAATTGGCAAAATATCAACAATCTCAAGGTTACAAGTCCATCTCCAGAGAACTAGATTTGCCTTTGTCCACAAGTGCGCAACATTATCAAGAAGTTTGCAGGCAGTAGCTAATCTCCCTGGTCGTGGACGGATGAGGAAAATTGATGAAAGATTGCAACGCAGATAGGTTGGTGGATAAGCAGCCCCAAACATGTTCCAAAGACATTCAAGCTGTCCTGCAGGCTCAGGGAGCATCAGTGTCAACGCGAACTATCTCGACATGGAAACGCTATGGCAGGGACCCAGATGCAAGAGACATAAAAAAGCAAGACTGTTTGAAAATGGATAAGCCAAAAGAAAAACGAAAACTTTTTCGTAAAGAATTCTACTGCTCCTACAAAGTCCACCAATTGGATCAAAACATGGCAAAGAAGCGCTGGAGAGTTCTGAAGGGCCAGCAATGAGCCCAGATCCTTGTGCAGCCTACAAAATGTACTTGAGTAAGCCAAAGTCTAAACAAGGCTGGAGAAGCCCTCTGACCAGTACTGCAAAGTAAAACAAAAAGATCCTGGGTCTTCCAGCGCACCAACCAGAAATGGATGGCAAAGAAGCGCTGGAGAGTTCGCATTACCTCAGTAAACTGTGATTCCTTCCATTAAAATGAAAGGTATAAATTCAGGTGAAAAGCTCGACTGAAAAGTTATGAGAAACCAAATATATGTTAAGTGCAAAAGTTTGGGGTTTTGTGTGACATTTATTTCAGTGTTTTATATTTGTTCAATACATACAAAGGGAATAAACAACAAAACATGTGTTAAAAGGTTTTGTGTGAAATACTTGATTTTCTAAGGGTGCCAACAATTTCGGCCATATGTATTTACTTCGATAGACATTTGCATTAACTTGTTGCTGTGTGGTGCTTTCTTCTATTTTCCTTATGGACTAAGATAGTTAGTATTTCCAAGCCAGAGTGTGGATTTTGTTCAGTGGAAACAGAAACAACACATCAGGGACCCAGATCAAGGGTGGATGATGGAAAGAAAACTATGGCTTCCACCAATGGATCACAGCTCATGAAAACCCTGCAAATCCACAATTGCGCATTACTCAGTAAACTGAAAATGAGAATGAAACTCGAAAAATGAGAATATGTGAAAAGTTCATTTATTTCAGTGCAATAAAAGGTGAAACTAATATATGAGATAGACTCATTACTGCAAAGCAAGATGTCCCTTACAGCTCATGAAACTCCACAATCTCAGAAAATGAGAATCAGCTCAAAGTCAGCCATAACCATAACACTGCAAAGGGTTCCTGAGCCTTTAAATGGTCTCTCAGTCTGGTTCAGTAGGAATCACAATCATGGGAAAGACTGCTGACCTGACAGTTGTGCAGAAAACCATCATTGACACCCTCCATAAGGAGGGAAAGCCTCAAAAGGTAAT